TCTGTGGAATTAATACTTAGATGGGTATGTATTTTGTTATTTTTTATGCTTTCTGAATGCCTCCAGGTAGATGTGATCAGGAAATGGGCTTCCCTTTTCACTCTTCTTCCTGAGAAACTTCAAGATGCCACTGTTGTTGTTTTGACATAATTTAGGATTTAATTTTCGGCGTATTTCTCTTTTAGTCTGCCTGTCCCGCTTCACAATCCCCATTCAAGCCTTTTTTCTAGTTATAAACAGTTCAGGGCTGGCTGTGGCCATTTGGTTTTAAGTGGAAACTGTCTCTTTAAATTTCAATGAGATCTGTGTGCATGCATAGTAGAACCCTCCGAGGGTAGGGCTGGAGTGTCCACTCGCTCAGGCACCCCTATAGTCACCGGAATGGAGGTGCGCAGATAGCGAGGGCCCAATGAGCAGATACTAAAAAATAAGAATGTCCACACCTTATCTCCGCTGTTGTGTCAGGCGTTTGTGGCTGCTCTGATTCTTCCCCAACTTGGTCTCACCCAAGACGGTGGCTCTGGGAGCAGCTGAGCATCTTGAATTAGAAAGCAATGGATTTCTTGCTTCTGCTACAAATTCCCCTAGCTGTAAGCCTTCCAACCTTCTAAATATTCCTTTATGTGTGTGGTTCAGAGTTCTGTGACTATCCCCTGAGCCTGCTTGGCCACCGGCGGTATTTTATGTTGTTGCTGACAGAGTTCTTCACTGCACTTATACCCGATCCGCCATCTTGTTTGTTCTCTTGGCCAATCCATCTCATTGGGGGTCTTCCTATTTTTCTCCGACCCTCCACCTTACCAAACATGATATCCTTCTCCAGTGACTGCTCCCTCCTGATATGTCCGAAGAAGTATGAGAGACGACATTTGGCCATCCTGGCCTCTAAGGAGCACTCTGGCTGCACTTCTTCCAAAACGGATTTATTGGTTCTTTTGGCAGCCCATGGCACTTTCAATATTCTCCTCCAGCATCATAACTCAAAAGCATCAATTCTTCTACGGTCTTCCTTATTCACTGTCAGCTTTCGCATGCATGTGAGGTTATTGAAAATACCATGGCTTGGGTCAGGTGCACCTTAGTCCTCAAGACTTAATCTCTCATTCTTCAGACATATTATTAGGAATGACCAGTCTCTAGAAAAGGATTGTTTGGTAAGGTGGAGGGGTCAGCGGAAAAGATGGAGATCTCCCCGGCCTAATGAGATGTATTGTTGCAGAAGAGGCAGCAATGGGCTCAAGTGCAGTTGGTGAAGGACCAGGCAAAAAATTTCTGTCCTGTTGTGCATAAGGTCGCTATGAGTCAGAACTGACTGGGCAGCACCTAACAATAACAAAAAGGAAATGATCTAGTTACAGAACTTCCAAATAAAAAGGAAATCTACCAAATATCAAGGAAAGATATATAACTAAATTTATCTGTAACACTAAACACTAGACCAACTCTTACTCCTAGCCCTAACCCAATCCCTACTCCTAACATTAGCTAACCCTTGTTGTTTTTGTTAAGTGCCGTTGAGTCCGTTCCAACTCATAGTGACCCTGTATAGGATTTCCGAGGAGCAGCTGGTGAGCCTGAACCACTGACCCTGGGGTTCAAACAGACCTTGCAGCCCAGCGCAATATCCTGCAGTGCCAAACGTGGACTCCCCTAGTCCTAACCATAACTGTAACAATAAACTAAGTACTAGGCCTAGCCCTGGAATCCTGGTGTGGTGCTGCAGGATAATGCACTGGATTTTAAGGTCGGCTTGAACTGCAAGGTTGGTGGTTCAAATTCACCAGCTGCTCCTCAGAGTCAGGACCAACTCAACAGCACTTAACAACAAGACCTACCCCTGGAGAAGGACATCATATTTGATACAGTGGAAGATCAGCAAAGGAGAGGAAGACCTTCAAGGAGACAGATTCACACAGTGGCAACTGTAGGGCTGGACAGTGTTTTGTTCTGTTGTGCATAGGGTCACTATGAGTCGGAACCCACTGGACGGCACTTAAACAACAGGCCTAGCTAAGACCTAGCCACAGTTCCTATCCAACTCTCACACCTTACTCCTGCTCTCCCAGTCCCTCCCCCAGCAAAGTAATAACAAGTTGTGTGTGCTGTATTAGACCTAAAATTCTGAGCACTTGGTTTGTCCTAAATCCTCTTGACATAAATTTCAGCCTCCATTGAGTTCTTTCTGGCCACTAACAGGATATATAGAAAGCTTTGTCCTCAACCAGAGTGCATTTGAAAGTGAACTAAGGACATTCCCTTAGCCAGCCCTGGGAGGGGCAGATTAGTCCTCAAGTATTTTTCTAGGTGTGACCTTAAGGGAAGTTGGAATACCTGGTGGCATGTTCATGAGTCATACCTTGACCAAGGTGGTTGGAGGTCCCCAGAACCAATTTTGGACATTTTTCTAATCTTCAATAGTGTAGTATCCTATCTTGGTTCCTCTCCTGCTACCTTAGTCCTGCCTGTAACTGTGATGAATTGATTGGCTGCTGATCATGATTTTTGTAACAATTTTGTTTTTTGTTTCCTATCTATATTTGGTCACTTAGATGTCAATCCTTTGGCCACCATTATGGCTTTGTGCAGAGTACTAGTATGGCACTGTGGGTTAATGTGCTGGACTGCAAG